TCTATGTTATCCACTCTTCTTATCATCCTTTCCACTTTCTCTCTCTACGTTCTGCCATCTCTGTTCTTTCACCGGCCCCCCCGGCCCCCCCCCCCACCCCACCCAACCCTCTCTCCCCATCCTCGCGCCGTACCTCGGATCCCCCGGCATGTCTGCCTGCGTGCCTCAACCCTACCCGTTGGAACCACAATGGACCCCCACCCCTAAAAGTTTTTCACCCTACCCTACAAAATAGAACATTTTTAGCTCATGATGACCCCTTCTTGATTACATACCCCACCATGTCATATCGACATGTCATACCCCACCCTTCCTATTCGTACTCACTGCGGCCTGCTCTGCCTGGAGGCTGACCTGGTAGGGATTAAAAGTACCGGTACGTTTTAGAGGATAAAAGTCTATTCATGGTGGGTACTAAGTTCGATGTAGGGGTGGAGTGTAACGTTAGAAGAAAAGACGGTAGGGTACAACGACTAGGGGTGTAATTGAAGGTCAAACATAGGGTACTTGTCAGAGGGGTAAGCTATCAGGGGTGGGGTAGGGGGTGAAGCGAGATGGTGCGAAGGGACAGTTGTTGTAGCCCTACACTCATGGTGGAAGGCGAAGAGTTGGACGAGCGGGGCGAGGAAGTGAATGCAGAGGAACCAAGAAGAGATGCGAGCAGAGGACAGGAATGCATGGCATATCACGGTAGATCGGGGTAGATCGGGGCAGATCAGGGTAGATCAGGGTAGATCAGGGTAGATCATGGCAGAGAATTTTTATGTGATCAAAGAGGACTGTCTCGAAGCAACGAGCAGAGTTAGACTTTGAATACTGGGAGCTACCTGACATTGTTCGGCTCAGGCTCTTAATTTGCAGAGAATGTTCTCTGGGCTGGGACAGAAGGAGAGCTTCGTGCTGATCAACTGGAACACGCATCAGGTACTGATTGACTGAAGTGAGGTTGTACAACCATATATCACACAAAGAGGTGGACGTGCAGAATTAGACAAGTGGTGAATGTAAAAGTATCAAATTCAGATAGAGAGCACTTATTGTATCAGGTGTACGAACTGAGTTGAATCCGCAAAAGAATAGCTCGTTGCGTATGAGGAGAGATGAACTGGTTGTATGCCCGGTTGACTGGCATGACTCCAGGTTCTCACGGGCTGCAAGAAGGATATGGAGACCAAGACTTTTGTCTGCAAGAACACGGAGGAGCAAGCTTCTATCGAGTGAAGGATTGCGATTCAATTGAGGATGTTTCATCACAAAGAAAGAATGACGAGGAGAGCTGCATGGCTGATCTGCGGGACAGCCTGTTTGGCCCTCGTGCTGATTGCCGTCTCCTCCAATGGCGCGAGGAAGCGATCCGCTATGTTGTGGGATCGATACCCAGGTCGCAGATTGGGCTTCAAGGGGTATCCTCGCAGACAAGCCTTGACGTACGATCCTTTGGTGGCCGAGTACAACTACCACTATGAGAACAACCCTGAGTCGGATCAGTTTCAACCTCTGGCTTCGTGCCCATGGTGCTTCAGCACAGGACAAGGTCTTCCCTTGCAAGCCCGCAGGCTGAGGAGATCACAGGGCATGCTGAAGCAGCTGGCCAGGGGGAGGACGCAGATGCTAGAGGAGGTTTCTGACTTTCCAGACATCGAGGACGACGAGGAGATAAAGGAGCAGAGAAACTCTGTAAAGAAGCTCTTCAGAGCCTTCGAGCCCGTATCGGAGCAGATGAACAAGCTCTCAGAAGCTGAGAAGAAGGACTACGCAAACTTCTACCGCGCCTACTCCGCCTACCAACTTCCTCATCCCCTCTCCGTGGACGGGCCATGGCAACCGGAGATTGAGTCGCTAGGAGACGACCTACCTCCCTACCTCTACCCCTACAGTGAGGCCTACTACCCCAACGGGGGTACCACGAAGCCCACGGTCACCATCAACGCCAACGGAGCGTTCAGCAGCAATTCCTTCCATGTCACTGGCCCACAGAGTATCAACGTGCAGATCGGAGGAGGAGGAGGAGGGGAGGAGAAGGATTCAAGCTACATCTACCCTGACGGCAAGCATGCGGTTGAGACCTCGTCCCCGAAGACTGTAGCGAAGCAGGTGAGGGGGGAAGGAGAGGGGAGGAGCAGGAGCGGGAGAGAGTTGGGAGGAAGTCAGACGAAAAGATAGCGCTAGAGGGCAGAGGGGAGGAGCTCGAGAATGGAGGAGATGGCAGAGGGGAGGAGCGAGAGACTGGAGGAGCACGCGTGACGTTGGTTTTGCTGCAGGTGGTTGGACGGCCTGTGGTCGATGGTTATGAAGGAGGCGAAGAGGTGAAGGCGACTTGCGATCCGGAAAACCCGGACTGCGGGTTTTGGCAGGTAGAGGGCAGGAGGAGGAGGGTTCATTGTTGAGGCTATTGCAGGACGTGTACGACGATGCGTACTACTGATCTTACCAAATATATCCCTTAACGTTGTTTGTACACACGGATAGATTCTTGTCAATGCTTTGTCACTTTATAAACTGAAATTAGAAAGACACGTGAAAGTGTAACCTCACGATCTTCACAGGTTTATCTTATCTTGTTGTTATCTTGATGCAAACTCGCCAGCTCAAGTCTGACAAACGATCCCTGCTCCATGTGTCACTCTTCCTCTCAGTCAGTCCTCGTGCTGGGTATCACCTGGGGCCCGATGATGAGGGAGACGATATTCTTGACGTCCCATCCGTTGACTTCTGTCCCGTCGACTGAAATCTGACAAGAGAAATTAACCCCACCCTCCTTTTCCCTCCGCCTCCAGTCCATCATACCCCATCCTCCTCCCCTTCCTTATCCCAGCACCTCCCAATGATGTTGACCTCCATTTGATTCTAACTGCCCCTGCTGCCATCTACTCCCCTTCCTCCGTGGTCGAAATTCCAACAGGTTTCTCCCTCCCTCCCTTCTTCCCCTCCCTTCTTCCCCTCCCTCCCTTTCCTTCCTTTCTCTCCCTCCTTCCTCCCTCCCTTCTCTTCCTCCTCCTCACCAGCTGGTCTCCTCGCCGTATCTGTCCTGACGACTTTGCCGGGCCATTGGGTGCCATGCCGGTGATGAACACGTCGCCCTTGGCGGTCATGCCGAAGGAGATGCCGATGCCGACCGGGTCCTCAGGGGAGAGCTGCTGGCCGGGGATGGGCTGCCGCTGGATGATGACGAGCTTCTGCGTCCGCTTCTGCTGCATATCACGACAGAGCCCTCAGCAGCGCCTGCTCCTTCACCTTCATGGCTGGAGATTTACTGGCAGTGTCTGGTTGTGCCTGAGGAGTCTGCATGAGAGCGTCACACGAGGAGGAGAAGAGCAGTCGCTGGTTGCCTGCATGTCCAGGAGGCGAGGGCTCATGTATATCCTCTTCTCCTTGCTGTTGCCCTCTGCGATGGTGTCAGCAGAGCTACCCATGCCGGCTCCTCCTACCTCTAGGCGCGCTGTCAAGTCCGATGCTCCATCGCGGCTGAGGGTCTCCTCGCTCTTGCGGCTCCTTGAGCTGCTCTGATGAGGGCCTGAAGAACCTTCAGCGTCCTCCCCCCAGCTCGCCATGTGGCGTCACCTCCCCTGCGCCAGGAGCAGCGAAGACTCGCGGGTAGCGCGATGACGATCAGTCTCTGTGTTGAACTGCAGCAGATGCTTGCCTGAGCAAGAAGCTCTTCAGCCCTCCCCTCCCCTCCCCTCCCCTCCTCTGCTCTTCCACCCTCCCACCCTTCACCCTCCCTCCCTGCCCCGCATGCATCAGCGCCATCTACCGTCATTCAAGATCACGTCTGCGCTCACAAACGTCTTGGGCGACAGAACCTGAACCTTGCTGGGGCTCTTGCTCTGGAGCCACAGGACAGCTGTCAAGCTTCTCAACCATCATGTTCTCAGCTCACCTTCAACCCCTCCGGCAGCGTCATGTCATGGCCCCTGTCACAACCTCGTCATGCTCATATCAACAACACTGTGGCTCTTGCCTCGAAGAAGGATGCGAGTCTTGTGAAGAGGGTTTCCTGGGGCTGACAGCAAGGTCACTCGCTGCAGGGGCCATCAGAGCTCCTGACGTGCTCTCGATCGCCAGGAACTTGGTGTCAGGCGGCGATCGGATATCGAGGATCTGTGTGAGCGTTAGAGGAGAGGCAGCAAGGGGTGGGTTGGGAGACACATTTGGCTCTAAGGGGTGTAATTGTAATGAGCTGTCCTTGGAAGCTCCATGGTACGATGACTTGTCGACTGTGAGAGGTTTCTCCTGCTCCTGCAGTTTTTGCCGCAGAGCATTGATCTGGTGTAGGGGTTTCAAGGGATGGGAGATCGTTGCTGCCCAGCTCATACCTCGTCTTCATGCCTCTTCTCTTGATTTTTCAGCTCCATCCGCATAATCTTCAGCTGCAGCAGCGAGTCAAAGTCCCGCAAACTTCCAGGCGATTGGTTCTAGCACCTCGTTCTGAAGAGACTCGATCTTCTCGCTCATCTCGAGCACCTGCCATCACGATCAGACACTAATTTCCCAGCTCCTCTTTTTGCGCCTACAATGTCATCGCGCTTGTCAACGTCATATCTTGACACAGTGCTGATGGACGACCTCGGTCCTAGCGCTGCCACGTCACGACGCGAGCAATTGAGTTCACCTGTCTACTCACCCCCTGCCTCCGATGCCAACGAGTTTGTGGGAGATTGCCTGAGAGGAGAGAGTGAGAGGAGAAGAGAGTTAGAGGACAGGAGGATGAGTTAAGATGAAGGGTAAAAGAGCCCGTGAGGTGGGAAGGAGAGGAGAGGAGAGGGGAGGAGAGAGGAGGGGAGGAGAGGAGAGAGAAGGGGAGGGGAGGGGAGGGGAGGAGAGAGGAGGGATGCACGTACTTGTTGTTGAAGCTCAGGCGCTGACTCTGACTCGTCGGAGGAAGCCTCTCCTCAACGTCTGATAAAATCTCAATGATCTAACAAGATAGTCAAGCGCGTGCAGTCTAACTCGGCATCGAAAGTGAGTGACGAGCTTTCACTGAGTACACCTCATTCTGTATCGACTTCTCCTTGCGCAACGTCAGACACAGTCAATGTAAGCCAGCACATCTCAGACTCACTCTGTAGACATCTCCATGCAACGAGGGGGAGGGGCTCCTGTATCCTCTCCTCGACAAGGATCTTGGATCTGCATTGGCATCCTCGTTCTCCTGCCCGGGCCAGCAGTTCCAGAAGTTCTTGTTTCTGACATCGTCCACGGATGGTGGTGCCAGGGACGAGGGTCGAATGGAGCTATGTTTCTTGGTGTTTGTTCCGAGGAACGAGTTTCTGTCTGAAGAGAACTGCCTCGACAACTCAGGATCAAAGTTCTCTTGTCCGAATATCTTGCGCTGAGGTGTTTCAATGGTGGAGATGGTAGATGCGATGCTTGCATGATTCTGTATCCCCGAGGATGAATTTCCACTCAGAGTGTCTAGTCTCAAACAAGGAATTCCATCCTGACTCGACATGTCTACCGTAAAGCGCTGCTCCACAAGTCAGCTCGAAACAAACGATGGAGGGAGGGTTATCTCGGGTGCTTCACGGGTTAGAATGTCTTGAACGTCTCATGCTTTCATCTATCCATTCAGCCACAACCTAATCATCCTCCAGGTCTTTCTGTTGCTTTTGATCTCCTTTCTGCTTACTGAGTTTCCTTCTCCTGCCTGCTTACTGAGTTTCCATTTCACCGCTCTGCTTTGCATCCCGGCGTGTGAGGCTATCCTCGACCTATCCCCAGCCTTACCTCCCCTGTTTCCACCACTTCCTTTCATGCACTTCTCCTTAACACCGATGCTCTGCTCTGCTCTGCTCTGCTCTGCTCTGCTCTGCTCTACTCTGCTCTGCTCTGCTCTGCTCTGCTCTGCTCTGCTCTGCTCTGCCAGGCTGCTCTGCTCTCCCCCCCGGACTAGCATGCGACCGTCGTGCCGCCGAGTTCACTTGCGCTCCGGCATCCGGAGGCCTTCTCTGTCAAACTACCGTTTGGAGCCAAACCATCCGTACTCCAGGGGTAGGTTCGATGGTCAAACACGGGGTACTCCAGCGACTTCATAATACTACCGGTTCTCGGACCTTCGCAATGCCCTAGAACCGTGGGGTACCGTACCGCCGCCGGATAGGCCCACGGTCCGACTTAACAGGTTGTGAGCCTCGCCTCATGACCCGGGCCCCGGTTACTAAGGCTGCGCCCACGGTCACCGGGCCCCGGGCCCGGCCCGGCGGGGCCCGGGGCCCGGGTACGGTCCGATCGGGCCCGGTCGCTCAGGTTGCCGGGGTCGGCCCCGGTGAGTCTGATCAGTGAAATGAAACTTGCGACTTCAGGGCGACATGCTCCCAGCGGCTCAGACCCGCCTGCCCGTATCCGTCCCCCTCACTTTGATGTTCCCGTAGATGAAGTTGATACAGTGGAAGATAGAGAGTGAAATCAAAATCTTGATGCCTGCTTACAATTGATTGCATGATGTCTTCCGAGAGATTTTCTGTGTCCCTGATTCTACTAGCCCTCCCTTGTTCACTGTGCGATTTGATCATGATGCGAGAAGAGCGCACAGATCTCTAAGTTGAGGACGAGAACAGACGCTCTTGCTGGGTAGTTCGAGGCGAAATTCATGCCTGGTAACTACTAGCAGAAGTAGAGAAAGAGTACAAGTTGGTGGTTCTTCGAGTGAATAGATTTAGAGACTAGAGTACGTAGAAAGGGACTAGAATATGAGTAAGCCGAATAAACGCGTATGCAATGATTCAGTGGAGAAATGAATCATATGATTTTCAAATATCAAATGTTTTGTCATGTCCATCGTATACAGGTAGGATCGTCACTAGCTGATGATACATGTGAACTGGAATCATTGGAGTACCACTGCGCAACGTTATCCACATTGCCTTGCTCGGGAGTAGATATCCTATCCCTCATATCCCCTGTATACAAAACATCTCAGTCAAGGCGACTCTTTGTAAAGGACAGCAAAAGAAAGTTTGAGAAATATCATCAACTGTAAGTTTCAAAATCACAAATAAGCATACATACCCTGCATTGTCTCGTAGAAAGGTTGTACTTGTTGTACGTGTTGATGACTTCCAGGCATGCACATCATTGGAGCAGGAAAGGGTCCCACTACGTCGTTGAAAGGAAGCTGCACGTGGTTTTGAGGCACAGGATCGACCAGATTTGGAGGAATGATCTGTTCATTGAACCCACCCATGTCTGCGAGCTCGTATCTCGGAGAGGAAGAGGAGGACGCTTGAAACTGGAACATGGGTCTGTTGCTGGCTGCTTGTGGGTATACTCCCATCTCCTCCCCGGCAAAGTGCAGCTGCGGTTGTACCATCGTCGCAATGGGAACATCCCTCAACCCGCTTTGTGTATGAAGAGCGTTGTCATTATTGCTGCTTTCTTCGCACTCATTTTCGCCCTTTTCTTTCTGATAAGGCCACTTCATGATCCCTAGCTTTCTGCAAGCATTCTTCAACGCTGTCACTGACAACCCCTAAAACATGAGCGAGTAAGCCTCGTTGAACAACGATATTGGATTCAATACCAGGTGGTTGGCAGCATCTGCTTGCTTCATATGAAACAAGCTTGAGATGTCACTTTCTGAGAGAAACAACGGGTTGGATCTTGTGGATTGTCCTGTTTTCTTCCGGGGAAAAACTTGAACTCGAGGATACATAGTTACGGTGACGATTTTGGATAATGGTGCCTTTATCCAATCGTTCAATTTCCTCCTACAGACTCGAAGCACAATCTGAACACAAAAGGGTGAAAACAGAAAAACAAAAATTCCTCGGGATGCATGGGCGTTTTTCCATGAAAGAAAGCAGAATACAGTAGAGAAAACTTGATGTGATTACATAAACCAAACATATTGTTATGAAGGGGCGAAATGTCAAGAAAAATCAGTTTGCTCACGCAATGGAAGAGAATTCCAAAGGAAAGAAATCAACAAACAAAAACATTCAAACCAAAAAACTTGTTAGGTAGACAAAAACGATGACAATCATTGAGACGCACAGAATCACAACAAGTTCAGGTTCCTCAAACTCCCAGGTAACACATGAGCAAAAAGGGTCAGGTATGACATTTTGGTTAAGGAAGATAATACAAACAAAGCAATCTAGAATGAAAGTGCGCAAAACATTTTAAACTGGGGCAACAAGTGAAGAAATCGACAAATCACATTTGTCAAGTAGAAATTATGTCAATCAGAGGCAAGAACGCTGAACTTACACAAATGCAGAGGAAGGAGTTAATGTTCAAGAACAATGCACTAGATTGACTGTGAGTGTGAGAATGAGGTCGAAGGCAGGAAGGAACAAAACATTTCCTCTCCTCGAGATCCTGCGACTCCTTGCTGTCTCGGTGAGGGGGTGCAGCAGGAGCCGCCTGGTGGAGGGGGGGGCTGGGTCCGTAGATATCCTGAATTACTACACTGTTTGCAATGTATGAAATTGAGTCTTTTCACTATTGCTTTAAAACATTTTGTAGATTGTTATCGTTTGCGATCTCTTCGACTGGCACCCCTACCCCTGAGAGATTCATGTCTCTACTACCACCCCACCCCTTCATTGTCCATGACTCTCGACTTTACCCCTGTCAACTACCTCGAGGACCCTCCCTTTCATATTCACCTGTGGGAGGGTAGGGTGTGCGAATGTGATGACAGAGGCCCAGAGTCAAATCACCCTTCAGAGGATCTCCCGACAAAATGTGGGGATGGTGGGGGTAGTAGTGGGTACGTTTCCCGACCACAAAAAATAGGATACTTCATGAATTTTCAAAATTCATTTTTCTTTTTGTGAAAGTTTCAAATTTGATAAGTGAAACGTTCAACTTTTTGCTTCCCTTTTCCTGAAATTGTTATTCCGATCTGCTGACGGATGCTTGCGTCTCCTTATAGATATACATTGATAACGAGTCTTTTCAGATCCTGTTTTTGGCTCTGGCCTATATCTGCGTCTGTTCCTATAGAATGCACCGAGAGGAATCCGAAATTATTTGGAATATTCAGATATTTTTTGAGAATATTCATTTTATTTACATGAATGTTTTAATGGCCTCAAATCCGGAAAAGGCTGATGTATAGGGGGGTAGTGTTGACTATGACTATAAAAACCACAACGTTCCGTCAATTGAATCTGTCAAGAATTCAAGCATTCGACCGCCTCCTTCCAGTTCCGATATCCACCTTTTTGTTTAGTCAACGGAAAGCTCCGACTTCCGTGAATCATAGGTGAAGCAAGCCCCCCTCAATGGCTGACCTGAGGCCCGGGGCTGCGGCTCACGGGGGCCACATCGAGCAGGTCACGCAGTGACGGACCGTGAGAGTGGTATCCTGAGACTCGGGATCACTACCACTCCTACTGCTTTTTAACTTAACTTTGAGTAAAGAATTAAAGGGGCCAGAATCGAGCAACCCGTGTCACGGTGTCGGCGGTCGGACTCTGTGACCAGCGGTCCGTCCGGCGGGATCATGTGACTACGGAGTGACTCTCATCTGCGGCCGGGCCGGCCGCCGCACTGCCGCAGTCACGCGGCAATGAGCGGCGTCGCCCGCTGGCAGGCTGATGACAGTGACGCCCGCCGGGCCCGGCCGCCCGGCGGGCCCGCCAGAGCGCCGATCGCCGGACTCGCCGCCCGGAACTCTGAGTCATCGGATCCGACAGCCTGAGTCCCGGATCATCCGCCCGTGGCAGCGGCCCCGGCCGACTCGGACGCCAGGCTCAGCTGTCGCCCGCGGACCCGGCTCAGGCCGGCGGCTCCGAGGCGGCCGCCTCTTGGGCCGGGTGACGGCCCCGGGCCCGGTCAGTGCCAGGCCAGTGCCGCCGCGCCGCGCGGCGGCCAGGCCAGCCCGGCCTGTGAGTCGGCCCCCGTCCGACTGGCGGGGGCCCGGTCCACCCGACCGGCGACTCAGCCGCGGGGCCCCCGTGACTGGGCCCACGGGGTGACCGCCGCCGCCGTGCCCGGAGTACCCGTACGGTACCGGCGCCGGTGCGGCATCATTCCGATCGGACTCCGCGAGTCGCTGAGTCGGACCGTCGCTTCAGGAACGGGTTGAACGGTTGAACCGTCCGATCTACTGCCGTAAGTTGCCAGTGGCGGCCTTCTGAGGCCCCTTGAAGAAGCCGGCGGGGCCTGCGGCACTCAACAGGTGACTAGCCGCGAGCTGAGCCTCCCCAGTGAGTCCGAGTTCCGAGAGGCTACAAAAAGTTTTATTTTAAGATTCAAATTCAAATTCAAATTTTCGACACACCAGCGTTTCCGGGTGGCCAAAAAAAGAATCAAAACTTTGAAACTTGCCATCAATGGGGAAGGGCTTCCAGGGAAAGCATGGCGCGGGAAACGGCTAGTCACTAGTAGTGCGAAGAAGGAGAAGCATGGAAGGGAGAAGGTTTTCCATAGAGCAGACGGTGAGGCTCACGGGGGGGGCTGACTGCTCGTGTCACTCGCTATGTCCGAGCAACCATCGGAGCTCAGATCAACTTAGCGACTTTTAGTGCAAGTTGGCGACAGAGCGCAGCGCTCAGGACGAGAAACTTGCATGATCACTGAGAAGGGATAAGAGGAGGCCAGACCATTCGCGCTTTAGAAGGATTCTTTCCTGTCAGGATTCATGTGCGATGTTACAAAAGGACAACCTTGTTCCAATAGCCCATAGGTTACTCGTTACCTTAGAACTTGTTTACAGAGCATTATGTAGTGCCATGATATGTGATAGTATTGAGACGTATCACCTCAACTTTCTGATCTCGATGAGTCTAATATCTGACTTTCCTTCTGCTAGCGTGCTTTCAAACAGGTGAAACACATGGCAACAAGTAAAAAAACGAATCCAAGCGATGATCTTTTCGATTCCTGGCCCTCCCAATTGTTCTTGAACCTTCTCGATCCCTTTTTTCATTGCAATGATGAGCACGAGATACCCTCGGCTCCCGCTGTGGACTGGAATGCTCATGTCGACGGCATGGTGGGCGATCTGAAGACGCAGGACATGGCGGAAGCCGATCGTTCTACTCCTTCCAAGGAAGAGCAGACATTCGCGAGGGCATGGGAGGACCTCTTCATCGATCATGCTGGGGACGCAGAGTCGCCCAAGGACGTCACAACGTCAACGTGGAGTCTCCTCACTGACAGCTTCGACTGCTGTACGCCAGCAGAGGGCACGCGACTACGGGAGGTGCAGCGGGAGACTGTGATTACATCCAAGAACAAGGAGGATAGTGACATCTCCCAGTACCTCTCCGACGGGTTCGGCAATCTTGCCAACTTCCTGCCCCAGTCTTCTTCCTCTCCTACCCAGCAGTATGGAAGTCTGCGCGTGGAGACAGAGCTGAGGGCGAGCAAGCTGAGAGGAGTGAGGACGAGGCTCCAGTCGATGATGTTGGAGGAGCCGTCGCCCCGGGCGAGAGGCAAGAACTTGGAGGCGATGAAGAAAGCGATGAAGAACTCATGGGCAGGTGAGTGATGAACCATTCTAAGTCCTGCTGTCTGTCTCAACATCTTCATCATTCCTCCCCCTCCCCTCTCCCCCCCACCACCTCCCTCTCTCTCCCCCGCCTTCCCCTCCCTACATGGTAATCTCTACATAACCCCAGCCCCCGTTCATGGCCAAACTGCTGCAAGACTTGTCCTTACTCCGTTGCCCATGTTTCTTCCGAGTTCTCCTAACCATTTTCTTCCCTCCCACTCAACAGATATCGAGAGATTACGCGAGCTCCGTCGATCGAATCATCCTTCCGTCGTCTCTTGACTATTTTATCTCTTCTCTTAGATCAGATTGCAGACTTAAGACACAACCCGAACTTTTCAACACTGCTCGTGCTTCCGTCCTCACAAGTTGCATTCCCTTCTACTGAGCCCTCTTCAGTTCCTCCTATCCCTGCTCCTCGACCGACTACGGCGCCGTCCTCGGTCCTCATACTCTCTTCGTCTGTCTCTGATGATGTCCAGTCAGCTTCAGCAGACAAGTAGAGTTCTGTACCTGTCTCGCGATCGAGATCTCCTCCTCTCCCCACTTCTGTCCCCTCCTCTGTCCCTGTCCCTGTCCCTTTCTCCTCTGTCCCTCTCTTTATCCTTGTCATAGAAGTCCCTGCCCTTGTTCCTGTCTCTTTCTCTGCTCCTGCTCCTTTCCCTTGCTCGGTCTCTGCTCCTGCTCCTCTCTTTCCTCTCCCTGCTCCTGCTCCTCCTCGGCTTCTCCTCCTCTGGTTTGCTCGAGCTTTTGCCATTATCCCTGTTAAAGGCAAGATCAGAGGCAGTCAAGACGAGGAAGAAGAGCCAACGTGTTCTTCTTGTATTCCTGGTCAATGAAGTCCGAGATCTTCCTCTTCGAACCCTCATTCTGAAAGCGCCAAGTTAGCGACCATGGCAACAAATCCACTGACAAGGGGGGATGGGGAGAAATGGGGGGGCTCAAATCAAAGAGGAGCAGGCTGATGGAAGGCTGACTTGACCCCCCACCTCGTCAGATGAAGAATCCGAGCTCTTTGAGTCTGCCATCAGGGCATTAGCGTCTAGAGATGTGTGGAGTGTCGTTTACCGTCTTTGTCATCTTGTCCTTTCTTCATCTCTTTCTTCGCCTACAGGTATCAGGTCAGCGAACATGAAGGGGTTAACAACGGTAAGTTACCTTCTTGAGCTCTTTCTTCTTCTTCTTCTCTTCCTTCTTCTTGGCTTTCTTCTCTATCATCCAAGATCAGCCACATCCAACTTCACTTCTTCGATACGCTGCTGGAAAGATACATCATCATCATCATCATCCTACCTTTCTTTGCTTGTTTCTCTTGCTTGTCAAAGGCACTCTACCAGGTGGTTACAATCAACTTCGACGCATGACTGAATCACTCACGAGAGACTGTGTAAGTTGCTTTTCCCACAGCTCATCCGGGTCAAGTCTCTGATAGCAGCAACGCATCAGAATCGTTCACTGCCAGTGTAACCAGATTCTAGTGTTCGCTCAACCTTGATGTCTGTCGTCGGTTGGCTGACTTTTTTCACAATCGAAGCCCCATACTCATCATTGAAGGTCTGTACAGCATTTAAACCCCATCGCTCTGAACAGTGAGCTGCCATCAACGTTTTACCTTCTGAAGGTGGGGGTAAGATCTTGCAGCAGCCGCCGCCGCCGCTGTGCAAACCATGTCAGCACCGAGTCCAAGTGAAAAAGTCGAGAGTATACCAGCAGTCTCTGTTATGTCTTTTTGCTTCTTGACTTTGGCCTGTTGATGCAAACATGCGATGAGATCGGAGAGATCAGAATCAATTGAGAATCTGGACCTTTTCTTCTGCATCGGCTTGCATGATCTGACATAGCGTGAGTGAGCACGGGAGTAAGATACATCGTCATTCATGCGATTCACCTCGATCTCTTCCTCGGGAGGTTTGTAATGCTTCTTGTGATCGACCTTGAGGCAACGTTACACTTGGGGAAAAATTAAGAATAACGATCACTCGAAGGGTCCTTCCAAGGAGTTTGGATCCGTTGAGATTGTCTACGGCTAAATTCGTGCTCCTCTGCAACACAACACCATTCAACAACATGATATCGGAGTCAGCTAGGTAGATGCACACCTGATCCTCATACGCAAGAAATCTGCGATGAAAGATGGATGGAATGTTAGTCACAAACCAGCCGTGCAAGATGGAGACTCACGCAAAACCATGTGACTTTCCTGTCTTCTTGTCCCGAGGCAAATGAACATCGACAGGTTCACCGTACTTCACAAGTCCGTCAAGTGCATGTACAAGTCATATCTGAAGCAGTTGGACCTGAGAAAAGATGGTGATGACATCTCCTTCAGTCAGCCTATAGTCCAGCCCTCCGACATAGATCTGCCAACTCAAATCAGACCGACCAATTACAAAAGCGCAAAGTACATAGGCGCTGTCTGCATAGTTTGCATGCCATGACCTGGAAGATTCACAGGAGGTCAACCAAACTGCGCAAGACAGCAAGATGCAGCATGCAAGCTTACGCTTTATCTTCGAGCCCACTTTCAATCTGTCAGCAAGCGTTCAGGGAACTTCTTACACCCTCTACAGACGGACCTCCCGCTGGTTGATGCGCTGGAGCTCCTTGACGACATTCATCCTGATCGGTCTATCGCTCCTCCTTGAGCTGAACAGGAAGACAAGTTGTCAACTTCAATGCATCCACCCTGCAGTATGAGTCAAACATTTTAATCCGATGACTAAGCAGGAGCAGAACTCTTTGAAATTTCTTGAGCAATGTTCAAGTATTGCTCACTTTCTGTCCCCGGATACACATTTACACGTTCCTACACCCTCATCATCTACTCCTCTACACCTTTATTCTAACATCCAATGACACTATCATTGCAACACCACCTCTGTCATCACAGCCCTTCACATCAAATGCCTCTTGCCATCTTCCATAACCGAGCTCCTACCCTCCTCCTTCCATGGTGTACAGCTCACTTTCCCTCCTCGATTTCTGACCCTTATCCCCCCCCCCCCCCCACCCCACCCCCCACTTTCAGAGTCTTTGTCCTTCTTCCACGTTCCTCCTCCCTGGCTATTCTTATACGTTTCTCTCCCCATTCCTCAACCTTCTTTATCTATCACAACAAAGGCCTGGAAGGGCTTGAGCCCTCCCCATCCCCCCGATCCCCCTCCTCTTTGATTTCCGGCTGTTCCCTCCCTCCGCTGTTCCCTCCCTCCACTGTTGCCTCCCGCTTCATGTCATCCTCCCTCCCTTCTTTTCCCTCTCTGCTTCTCTCCTCGCCTCCCTCTGGTCCGTTCCCTGCCTCCCTGCCGCCCCCCTTGCCTTCCCTTCTCTCTCATCCAATCGCTTACTCTCTTCTCCTCTCTTTTCTTCTCCTCTCTTCTCTTCTCCTCTCTTCTCCTCTCCTCTCCTCTCCTCTCCTCTCCTCTTGCCAACCGCCCCGCACAAGAAAATCCTGCATGTGGTATGAAGGACTTTGAGTCAGGGGGTGGGTATCCGGTGGGTACTTTCAATTTGGCTAAAGGACGGGGTACTAGCGACACTTTTGTGGGGGTAGTGGGGTTGAGGTAGTGCAGATTTTCAGATTGAGGGGTAGGGTCATGTGGGTCAGATGTGCGAAATCTTTATCAAAATATTGAAAATACATCTGAATTATCAACTTTGGTTTTAAATCTAGAGGATATGAGATGCAGTTTTATACTAAATATTTGACAATGTTTGAAACTATCTATTGGCCTGAAATCGTGATGTAGGGAACTCAAAGTTTCTCAAAAAGGTTTGGAACATTTCAAATATCAATTCAAGTTTTGAAAAATACACAGCGATTGTCATATTGTCCTGAAATCACGAGATCGGCCTCTACTTTCATGCAGGGGCTACAGGGAGCAGGTAGTGAATCTGGAGCAGATGGAGAGCGGGGCGGGGCGGAGAGGAGAGGAGAGGAGAGGAGAGGAGAGGAGAGGAAATATGAGACAAGGATATGAGATGTAAGATGAGGATTGCAGATCTGATGTGGATTGCGGATGCATGAGGTGAGAAAGAATGATAAAGTGGATGATGAAGATTTTCTTGGACATCAAGGCATCGAGCATTCATGTTGTTAGTTGTTGCTGTTAAGTTGATGCTGGCTGAATTATTCAACCTGATGAATCAATTGATGAATGAGATAGAATACATTGTTCATGCAGACAGCGGGGGAAGGAGAGAAGAATGCGATGGACAGGATGAGGGTCGCATTGCGAAGAAGTCGAACAAGGGAATGGAGTACAGACAGAGAAGGTGACAGAGAAGAAGGGAGGACGAAGGGAGGAGGGAACGGTTGAGGGATTAAAGGAGGGATCAAGAAGGATAGAGGGATTGTAGGACTGGAAGGAAGGGTCGAGGACCGTCTGGAAACGTGGGGCGTAACATAAAGGTGCTGAGGGAGTGATCACAAGCATTGGGCCAGTAGGGTTAGACCATGACCTCGGCCATGGAGGGATCAGGATTGGGGTGGTATCGAGTTGCAGAAGACTTTCTCACAAAGAATAAGTTCCATGAAGTGAAGGGGAGGGGAGTGAGGGAGTAGAAGGAATAGATGGAGGAGGAGACTTCGAAGGTGGAGAGGGTGCAACCCAACGTCGCATTCATTATAACCATCTGCTCTTCATGACTTTGATTGATTTGTGACATTTCGAATCAGATGTATTGATAAGGATTGTTATTTAACGATACGGCTCGCGATACGTCAATGACTTCCATATGAAGTTTGGATTCATTTTCTCAACAAATGCTTTCTTCTGTGTTCTCCTCTTCCTGTCTTCTGCATCATCAATGATGCAAAGTGGCAGAAGGTTGTGCATCCCTCGCAAAGGAGGTGTTTGCTGTTGTCTCTACGTTTTCCTCGTTCCTGAACAAGACTCGCAGGATTTCAAAGAGGATTTCACCTTCAGTTGTCCTTTGTGGGTATAACTTCAAGACCAAAGGTGAGTTTCAGGATTTGAAATGGTTGACAAATTGACTCCTGTCTCAGCTGGAGACTGCGTGTTTTGATATCTCCTTCTCTTCACTCGGAGCATCTCTCAATCACTTGACACGTCGGGACGCTCTTACACCTGTCAATTGTCAAGTGGGTCAACGACGACCATCGGCACGCACCTCGCGGTCTTTCCCATCGGTATTCCGCCCGTTTCTAGAGTGTCTGTCTTTCCGCTCGACCATGTTGGGCGCTCAAGACTCGTGGAGACGGAGCCTGTCGATGACATCTACGGACCATGGGAGCGAAGTTTCCTGCAAGAAGAAAGCGGCAAAGAAGGGATCAAAGAATATCCCCCCAGAGCTGTTGAAGGAGATGCGCAAAATGGAGATGATGTTGAAATTCAGGAACGAGGTCGACGTTGATCAGGTTCACAGGGACGTGATGCGACTAGTCGAGCAGGACGAGAGGATCGCTCCTGGTGTAAAGATCAAAATCTACGAGCTCCTTGTGGCCCTGGCTTGCTACAATCACAATGCTGAATCAGCCATTCGGTTCTTGGAGGTCCTGAAAGAACTTTCGATGCCATCAGAATCATCATACGCCTCCGTGATCAGAGTTTGTTGTGAAGACCCTGGGACTGCCAAACATGCCGTGAAACTCCTTGATGATTTTGTCTCTAATAACCCCAATCGCCTCCGGTTGCGGACGGTCCAACCGTTGCTCCTTACATTCTTGCAAAACAGAGACTTCGATAATTTCGTTGATCTCTGGAAGAGTGTGCTGAGCGGCCATCCAGACTTGATCAAGAGTGCGGCGAACAGCAGCATCGAGCCGGTTGAACAGCTATTTGTTGACATCATCTCAGCCTTTAGCGATGTCATTGTCGGGAAGGTTGGGAAGGAGAGGGATCTGCTGATGCTATCATTGGATGAGATCTTGAATGAGATGTCTGAGACGCTCTTGTCTATCAGTGAGAAGTCAGCGTCGTTGCTCAGCTCGCAGGTGTCCCATGACAACTGCAAGGTGGTCAACATGTCGAGCGAAGGAAAGTGCCCACTCAGGTTGTACTTGTAGCCTCCTCCTCCTGTCCCTCTCTTCGTCTTCTCCTATCCAATGTCTCTCTACCTCATCGCCATATGCTCTCACACTGTTGCAAGTGGGAAGAGATTGAAGTTGTTTTCCCTATCATCCACTCAGCGAGGTCTTGTCCTCTGTTCTTCTTCCTTCAAGCTACTTACCTCCCCAACAGCTCTTGTGCGGACTGGACTGGTCGAGCTCGCCTCCAGTCAGGTGAGGAGGAGCTGGGAAGGGAGAAGGGCAGAGAAAGAGGAGGAAGAGGTGATCCCGAAGCAGCGACCTGGCAAGCGACGCAGGCAGAAATCAATAGTGAGGAAAGCGGATTCTCAGAGAGGATGAGAGAGGAGGATACGTACAGAAACAGGAGGTAGCCCGAGAGTGCCAGCACAGAAGGCATAAGGGGCAGGGGCAGGGGCAGGGGCTTGAGCTAGAGGGCGATGATGAACGTTGAACAGGGAAGTCAAGCTCGGGAGTCGATTTTGAATTTCTTGGACTGGATGCGGGAGACATCACAGCAGTTCTCAGTCGTGGTTGATGGGCCCAACGTGGCATACTCGAAGCAGAACTTTGAGACCGGATGTTTTTCATACCATCAGGTGATTGAATGAGCAAAGATTATCCGATTGATTTTGCTGTGTGCTCTCTGAATGCCTCTTGTCAGATCGACATTGTTGTGAACAAGTTGAGGGAGGAGGGAGAGAAAGTTCTTGTCCTCCTCCCCTACAAGTACGTTCAGCCCATCATCCCCAACCACGCGAGGCATCAAGGGCACCTGAACTTCAGCACCGCCCAGCATGTCGTCACTGGAGATGAAATGGAGATCATTGACAGGTTTGCTTCCATCCTTTCCTGACTTGAATGTGTTGAAATTATCACCCCTGTGTGTGATGTCTGCTTATTCATTCCTGCACAACTGTGATTGATGAGATGTGTTCATGACATTTGTTACCAATAATTCAATCAATAATTCAGTCTTTGCTTTGTACATGTTTCCTTGTTGCAACCTCTGATGCAATCTCCTTCTCCTTTTCCTAACACCCTTCCTGTTTTCAGGTGGAACGCTGAAGGGTGTTTGAAGATCAGCCCGCATGGCTCTAACGATGATTGGTACCGCCGGTCGAGATTCGAGTGTGTCTGACTAGAGGGGTCAAGGTACTGGATGCTCTCAACCGTCATTGACGAGGGCGAGACAGTAAGGGTTGTCACCAACGATCAGATGCGAGATCATCGTCTTGCCTTGCTGGTACATGTGTTGTACATGTCTTGTGACTGTCATGTACGTTTCTTGGAGTATATCTTGCGCTTGTATTGCACTTGCTCTGCACCTATCTCGGGAGACCCTTGTTACAAGTAGTGTAATGATTCCTTCAGGATCCCCGGCCCTTCTTGAGATGGAAGACGACGAGGATTATTCGATTTGATTTCTCGCATGCCTGGGAACCTGAGAAGGTGTCAGTTAGATCATATCATTAGCCCTTGTAACGGTCTGTAGATTGCAAACGGAACGAGTGATATACCGCAAGTCACTCTGGTGATGAATGTCTTTGATTGGGTTGTTTGATGCTGACAAGTCTGAAAGATTCAACCACCTGTCATCTCGCCCGAGATTCAAAGATCAAGCGATGAAGAACACATGTAATGATGATGATCATGATCATGATCATGATCATGATCATGATGATGCTGATGCTGATGCTGATGATGGTGGAGATGATGACAATGCTGCTCGTGATTTTGGTGTTTGTAGGATTTGGCATTTTCCCATCAGAACCAAGGTTCAAGAAGACGAGGAGGAAGACGGAGACTGTGAATTCAACCCAACAGGTGCGACAACGCTCAAGTTTCTTGAGCAACTCATTCCTGTCTTCATTCAGAGGCAGCATGTGCAAGTACAACTCTTGTTAGGAAGACGGAGGTGATGGAGGAAATTTCTGTTCCTATGACATCTGATGGAATGACATAGGAGGGGAAATGGCTTTGCCTCAAGTTAGCGTTGAAGATGCATCGATGACTTTGTTTCGATCTAACTTACGAGCACCATTTTCTTGTTTCATCCACATCGCTCAAAGCTCAGGGGGGAAAGAAAGTTGTTTCATTGTAGTCAGGAGCAAAAGTGTAGTCTGTGCTGGATGAATAGTCCTAGTTGCTTTAACAGATCTAGTCGTTGTCTGACAAGTCTTTGACATGACAAGCTCGGAAGTTCGATTCAGCGGCTGGTATCGAAGTTAACTTGTGCATGTGTTGGTTGCCGCTGGGCTAAGAAAACTTGTAAGCTAGAGGATCAATCTTTCTGCTCTCCTCCTCCCACTCCTCCCAGGGGATGATGGTATGATCGTCATGAACTTTCTTGACACGAGGGGGAGCAGGAGCCACAACGTTGTCACTCCTGACAGCAAACACCATCAGACACGTGGGCAAGAAAGAAGTTCAACGTTCCTCGACGAGCTTGCAATCGCGACAACCTTGGGCCTTTGAACGATACTCTTGTTGCTGACAACCTGGAAGAAAGTCTTAGATGTAACTGCTGCAACTCAACAGCCGATCCTGCCTTGACCTGGGCCTTGGGAATTTCTACGGAAGGAGTCTGAAGAAGATGTTTCAGTCTCAACCAGCCATCAACAGCTCCTACCTGCTGCTGCTTCATGGAGTTCCAAGACGACAACCCTGCTCGTCAAGTCATCGCTGGGAAACAACGACATACACACGTCGTCTTACTTGACACCACTGGCGTTCTAGAGTTGCGACTCGCGTCAGACTGAGATCTTGCTTTCTTGGTGTATAAGTCTTGACCAGGTGCTGACTCTAAGATCTTCCGAGCTCTGGCAAGAGCTTCTAGTCTGCGACTTGACGTGAACTACAACTGGCCACCAGGTGGACGATATGAAACCTCTTCTTTCCGAGCTCTGCTGTGCGAGCCTCGCCCATGTGGTGTGCAACCTGATCTCATTGTTGTCATAACATCATCATCATCATCATCATCATCATCATCATCATCATCATCATCATCATCATCATCATCATCATCATCAATCCATGCCTCATCAGATTCCTCCAAACGACAATTGCTTTACCTCTGTCAATCTTCCTATCCTTGCATGGTCTTTACTAGAGTGTGACATCGCAAGG